TAACCCGCTACTGCCACCTGCTGGCGGAAACGAGTGCTGCCCCACAGCCACTCCATTGGGAAGGAGGCAGGCTCAAAAAGTCACACAAGGGTTTTTGAACACAATCAAAAAAAACACAATGACAGGGGAATGGCACTAAACAATACAATTCAAACACACAAAGGAAGTCCTTAACAATGTCCAGGGTGCCACAAGTACATCAGTTATTGGTCTTTGTCTCCCAGGTGTAGCGGGTACAAATATGTACTACGGCTTTAAGACTCACGTGAACGCGGGAGAGAGAGAGAGAGAGAGAGAGAGAGAGAGAGGGAAAACGGGAGTACGAGCGGCGAAAAGGGGAGCGGTAGAAGTTTTTGGGCTCGACGGGCGCGTCAAGTGTTTTTCCCGGTAAGGAATATTGTCAAGTGGTCGTATAGAGTGACATGTTCCGAACCAGTAACGCGGTTACGTTTGGGTTTTCGTTTTAATTGATGGTGCGAGCGCCGAAGTCGGGCTGCATTAGATTAAAGTGACACGTTTAAACCAGTAACGCAATGTTACGTCTGGGTTTACGTTTCCTCGGATAGCGCGAGCGCCGAAGTCGTGCGGCGTTAAGTTAAAGTTAACTGTTGCATTTAGCTGGGGCTAGATGGCGGTGCACCGATGAAGATGACTGGAGGAGTGTTCAAGAAGAGCAACCCGGGACATCATCATCTCGAGGTGCAACGTGCCAGCTAAAAGCTCTGTCCACCTCTCCCGACTCCGTGCGTGAGCTGCGCGGGAAAGGGGGCGATTGACGTCAGGACAACCCGTTTCATTGGAGGTTTACCCTGCCAGCCATCGGACGTCCCACGACGTGTGACCTCTGCGGTTGTATCGGTAATCACTGCACCACATTTCAACACACTGATCCATGAACCAGCAGGCGGCGTGTGCAGCCGAACAGAACTGTCTGTGAACTGAACGAACTAGCCGCACCGTGCACCCACACACACGCCCAAGCACACAGACGCTAACAGCACCTACTGAACTGAACTGTACAGCAACGGCGCTGACACCAACACGTACACACACGCGCACCCATACACACTGGAGTGACACGGTTAGCTCATGCGGACTGGCACAGCAGACGCCGAGTAACTGTTTATTTTGCCATCTAAAGTAAGTTTACTGGAATGTGAATGTGAAATGCCTTTTAGAAGTAAGCTATATTCTGTTAAGTTTCCCGTTCTGGTTAAAGGGAGCCATTTTTAGTTGTCACAAGGGTGAACGTTGCTTCCCCAGGTTCCATGAGAACTTACAATAGACGGGTATGGCCCACTAAGTGTCAAGTTAAGCACCCAATGTTTGATGTTGAAGTGAAACAGAGGTATTGAGTAGCCATTCGTGAGGTTTCTAGGTGACTGTATTAATGAAACCATCCCATATAACTGTCTGGTATTTGACTATGTTTTTCTTGTGCTCTGTGTTTATCCTTGAGTAAACAATAGAGGGAATAACAGCTGTACGTGTTTGTTTAACGTAGTCTAGTATATTGGGCTGCTTATCCGGTGAATCATTTTTAAACTGTTCCAACACTATCAAATCACAAAGTCCATCAAAACTCTCAACAGATGCAGCGGAACACCAACGGTTGAAATGGCACAACAAATCACGGGCAAATTCCACATTAGTTTGTTCACCATTTTCTCACACTTCCTGAACTTCTGGCGGTAAGCCTCAGGAACCAACTCATACGCTTTCAAGACAGCAGATTTGACCTTGGCATAAGTCATACACTCACTCGCATGCAGCGCTGAATATGCTTCCTGGGCCCTACCCGTAAGTACGCACTGAAGCATCAAGGTCCTGTCAGCATCCGGCCAATTTCTTGCATCTGCAATACGCTCAAACAAAGTGAAAAACGTATCAGGGTCCTTCTCATTAAATCTGGGCATTAAACGCAAATTAGCCCCAACATCGAACCCGAGACGAACAGACTCCGGGAAACCTTCCTCTGCCATAGTCTGTGAAAGCTTACCGTCACAAATCAAACTCAATTTATACTGCTGCAATTCCAGTTTCATTTTTTCTCTTTGCTGCCGAACCTTTTCGATTTGAATTTGCCGCTCAGTTTCCAAGTTTAACCGGATCATCAGCAGCTCCTTCTGCTGCTCAAAAGTCAGCCCCGACATGGGTGCAGACACAGGTGTTGCCACAGCTGCCACGTCCGACAAATACTCCTCCGTTCTCAAAACACCACTTTCCACTAATGCGGGCCGAACAACAGCTTTCACCTCAACCTTAAGTTTGATATTAGTCACATCGATTGTATAATGCTCGGCTATCAGGAGCAACTGTTCTTTAGTACAGCCATTAATGAACACCTCAGAGGGCGCATCAAAAAAACCCGACAAGGAAGACATAGACCAAACAGAACGCACCGTATTACCCCCCAAACGCACACAAACAAAGGCAACTTGCCCCGCGGAGTATTCCCCCTAACTGCCTAGTCCAAACTCTTACTAAACTCACCTAGTCTTCATGCAGCTTGCGGTGGGTAATTACGCACTGGAAACCAGCCGGTTTGAGAAGTCACCCACAAGTAGGCCACAACGCAGGATCCCACGGACGTGCTCCCGAGACAACCGTCCATAGACAGCTGACACTAACCACGTTGCCACAACACTACAAAAAAAACTGACGTAACCCAAAGGGGAGACGCCACTATAACCTGACAGGGAAACTCCAAACACAGCGCATCAGGGCGGCAACACGTACTTTCTCTTTGGACCACACGCAATCGACTTCGCAAAAAAGAAAAAAAAACACCTCTAAATCTAAACGCTTCCACAACCAGAACTACAACTACAATGGACCAGAGAACTACAACGAACCAGAGCTACAACTACAACAGACCAGAGAACTACAACGACAACGAACCAGAGCAAAACCTTCAAAATCCAGCATGACTCCCAAACTTTCCGCAACAGAGAACCTGGCGATCACCACCAAACCAAACGCGCACCAACCGCTCACAGCTGATCCACACGTAAACAAAGATACGCGTCACACGAAATCTACACACTTGATCATCAAACAAATCACTGACCAGAATTGGACGAGCCCCAATTTGTCACGACCTGGCTCTTTGGGCCATGACCAGATTGGAGTTGCACTGGTTTCCGAGGTGTAACATTCTTTATTTAACACACAAAACAACGAAAAACCACAACCATTCCAGATGGGATGTGAATGTCAGTATTATCAGTAGTGTAGGATGTGCATGAGGGTAAAGTGTAAATGGTGGGTGTTGTCAAGGGCATTTAACCAAAAGGAAAACCAGATTCAACAGGCGGCTGCCCTACCACACCGGACATCTGCTGGAGAGAGGAGAGAGCGACAGAATCAATGAATGAACACAGGGCTTTCTAATCTCAGGGCACCTGGCCCAGGTGCCTTCAATCACCAAATCTCATTGGAAGGCTGCTGCCTCCACAGCAGGGGTCGTCACATGCTGCCTCCACAGCAGGGGTCGTCACATGCTGCCTCCACAGCAGGGGTCGTCACATGCTGCCTCCACAGCAGGGGTCGTCACAGGGGCGCCTCACCTGTTTAGCTAGACCTAGGTAGAGTGGGGGGGGGGTTACCTCACGCACCCCACACACACTTCAGACGACCACCTACTGAAGCCCACTTTGCCCCGTCTAAGAAGCTACCGTCCAGTCTAGCTGCTAAATAGTAAACAACCTGTTCACTCACCTGAGCATCGAGGCCACAGGCATTGAGTGTGGGGGACCCAGATCCTGTCCCACTCAGTCCTCCCCAGAGTAAGTGTTTTATAACCCCTATAAGGCGGCGGTAATAATCCCGACCGTTACACAGGCTTCATCTTTATTATCATATTACATTACATGTCATTTAGCTGACGCTTTTATCCAAAGCGACGTATAAGTGCATTCAACCATAAGGGTACAAACTCAGAAGAACAAGAAACAAGAAAGTGCATTTTCTTCAAATAAGCCAATTTACAATTTGCTATAGATAAGAGCCATTATAAGTACAATTTAAGTGCTACAATTTGTTAGTCTTTAGTCGAGGTAGAGTCTGAAGAGGTGTGTCTTTAGTTTGCGGCGGAAGATGTGAAGGCTCTCTGTGGTCCTGGTGTCTTCAGAGAGCTCGTTCCACCATTTCGGCGCAAGGACAACAAAGAGTCGTGATCTGGTGGAGTGTTTTGCTCTCAGTGAGGGAGGGACGAGCAGTTTTGCAGATGCAGAGCGGAGAGTGCGGGTTGGGATGTAGGGTTTGACCATGTGGATGTAAGCTGGACCCGATCCATTCACAGCATGGTACGTGAGCACCAATGTTTTGAACTGGATGCAGGCAGCCACCGGAAGCCAGTGAAGAGAGCGGAGGAGTGGAGTAGTGTGGGAGAATTTCGGAAGGTTAAAGAACAGTCGAGCTGCTGCATTGTGGATGAGCTGCAGAGGTCGAATGGCGGTAGCAGGGAGACCTGCCAGGAGGGAGTTGCAGTAGTTCAGGCGTGAGATGACAAGAGCCTGAATCAGTACCTGCGCTGCCTTCTGAGTGAAAAGGGGACATATTCTCCTGATGTTGTGGAGTGTATATCTACAGGATCGTGTTGTCGCAGTGATGTTGGGAGTCAGGGAGAGTTGGCTGTCGATTGTGACGCCAAGGTTCCTAGCAGTCAAAGTGGGCATTAACACAGAGTTGCCGAAGTTGACAGTCAAGTCCTGGGTCGGAGAGTCTTTTCCTGGAAAGATAAGTAGTTCAGTCTTGTCGGGGTTGATTTTCAGATGATGGGCGGACATCCACTGAGAGATGTCAGTCAGACAGGCAGAGATCCGTGCCGCCACCTGGGTGTCCGAGGGAGGGAAGGAGAGAATTAGTTGTGTGTCATCTGCATAGCTGTGGTAGGAGAAGCCATGCGAGCGAATGACAGCGCGAACAATATCACGGTGTGTGTTTAAAGCAGTGTTGGGAGTAACTCGTTACAAAGTAACGCATTACTGTAATTCCACTACTTTTAGCGGTAACGAGCATGTAACAAAGTATTTTTTTAACGCAGTTACAATTATTGAAATTTAAATTAGTTCGTTATGCGCGTTACTCTCTTTTGTGAAAAATGAACACTTGCAGACAAGAAGACAAGATAGGCCTACTTTAGCTGCTTCTGATCTGACAGCGCAGGACCTTGGTGGCGCAATGATACACCAATCGAATCACTCAATGAGCATTAAACCACATCATGGCCGACACGTGCGGAATGAGCTTTCTCTCCTGGAAGTATGGACAGTACTTTTCGCTCGTCGAAAGTAAAGACAAAAATGTAGTGGTGAGTTGTAAATTATGTGCAGGTGCAAAGACCCTATCCACATCTAAGAGTAGCAATTCCAATCTTATGAATCTGTTGAAACAACACGCTACGACAAAGCTAGTAGCGAAAGACCCCAGCCCTACGGATGCTGAAGGTGCCACTCCATGCAAATAACCAAGGCTAGACTTTACACGGACTGCAGTGCAGCCGATAAGCCAGGCAGAGCTGAATAAATTGATTCCTAGGTATGTTGTCGATGACATGCATCCTCTGTCAACTGTCGAGTCAGTTGCCTTCAGGCAACTAATAAGCAAAATTTCGGTTATAAATGGAGGCTCGGGGCAAATGTGCAGGAACACGTTTTCCAGCTATTTAGACAGAGAATATGCGAAAATGCAGGTCGAGCTAAAGAAAACATTTGAGGGTTTACAACATGTCTCTACCACATCAGACATCTGGACTGCTTACAATAAAAGCTTTCTAGGTGTAACTGCACACTGGATTAATCCGAACAAAATGCTACGTGGGAAATCAGCCCTGGCATGCCAGAGATTCAAGGGCCGACATACGACATATGACATTATTGCAACCGAAATAGACAACATCCACAATGGCTCTAATCTTGTCAAGGCGTTTTAAATGTACCAGCCACCTGAGCCAGACACTGAAGATCATTTGGAGGAGGATGAGGCGACTTTTACAAACATTGGGGATGTGCTAGATAATGCTGTCGATGTCAATGACGTGGTTTTACCCCCGCATCACAGATGCGCATTGCACACATTGAACCTCATCTCATGCACTGATGTCGATAAGTGGCTAATGTCAAAGCCAGAAATGAAATCTATCTACAGAAATGCTACCACAAAATGCGCAGGGCTGTGGAACAAGGCAAGTCGGTCAACGATGGCTTCGGAGATTGTCAACGACGTTATTGCTAAGAAGCGCTTGTACCTTGCACCACCAGGTGGAATTTGTTCTATGATGCGGTAGCTCGAATTTCTGAGATACCTGTGGCCGAATTGAATACAATATCCTCACAACTTCAGATGAAATGCATCAATGAAAGGGAACATCAGGTCCTTAAAGAGTATTGTGTAGTGATGAAGCCACTTACTGTGGCTTTTGACATTCTGCAAAGCGAGGACAATTGTTTTTACGGAACACTCTTGCCCACTCTGGAGACGTTGATGTCTAATACTCTGGATTAAAAAAAACACCTCGCAATCCTTGATGGCCTACCAGAGGCAATTATTCAGGTAAGAGCTGCTATTTTATTTTGCATTTATATGTATCCAATCAATAGCTCAGTTGCATTTATTGGTGTCTACATAATGTGAAGTATTTATAAGTGCAGGTCAATTTAGTAGTGACTGCTCTGTAGTCAGATTTATGCTATATCCTAAATATGTATAATGCACTTGTTTTTAAGACTTGTTTTAATACTCTTGTTATGTCTTTTGTGTCATGTATTTCAGGCAATCAAAACCAGATTTGCGCGTGTTCTTGAGGATAATGATGCTCTACTAGCTGCTGCAACCCTACCCTACCCTACCCTAAGTTCAAGTTAGGTTGGCTGCGTGACCAGGAGAGGAAGGACCTTGTAAAAGCAAGTCTAGTAGCAGAATGCAGAAAATATGTCCCAGAGCAGGATGAGCACCCAGGGGAAACCCCAACAACACAGCGCCGGCCATCTACCAAAGAGGATGAATTCTTTAGCTTTGATGAGAGTGAGGAGGATGCCTATGTCTCTGTTGAAGATGAAGCAGTTGATTACTTTAAATCAGGAGCCACAGGGATGGACGCTCTGAATCAGTTTCCCATAATAAAGAAAGTTTCACTTAAATATAATGCAGCCACTCCATCCAGTGCCCATGTGGAAAGACTCTTTAGCTTTGGGAACCTGATTCTCTCTCCATAGAGTAATAGGCTCTCAGATCAAAAGTTTGAGAAGCTTCTCCTCTTGAGGTACAATAACTGGTTTGAGAGCTAGCAATGTTGTGGCTACTGGTCAGAGGTGAGAGAAGAGACTGGTTAGCCCATTTTAACGTTTGTTGAGAATCTCATCTCTTATCTATATTTAGCTCTGCCTTGTGAGGCATGTTTGTTAAAACATTTTGTTAACCTTTTGTTAAATCACATACTCAATTATATGCAGCACCTAAAGGCACCTTTGTTTTCTCTTTTAATTAGTGTTAATATTGTAGGCCAATCACTTTTATTTCATTGGGCCTAATATGGTAAAAAAAAGCCACTTAAATGACTGAGACAGTCATTTTGTATTAAGTTAAGTATTAAAAGGGACTTTTGTACTACTGCTTGATTTGAAGGCCTGTTGCCCTGATGATTACAATAAATAGGTCTAAAAAATATGTTTATTGTGTTTGACTGTTTATTACATTAAAAAAGCAGACATAAAAGTAACTTAAAAGTTACTTTCCCTAGTAACTAATTACTTTTGATATACAGTAACTGGTAAAGTAATTAAATTACCTTTAAAAGAAGTAACTAGTAACTGTAACTAATTACTAATTTTCAGTAACTTGCCCAACACTGGTTTAAAGCCACTAATACTCAGTTTCCCCCACAGACACAGCATCGCCACGTGATGGTGAGGAGTCTGGTATCACAGGATCAACTAACCTCAAATGTAATTTCACATCCACCAATAAAACTGGGACCCTCTCCCCCAGTAGTGACTCATGGGGCATCAGTAAGTGAAAACGGACTCCCCTGTATTTAATTCATTCAAGTCATTTCCATTATCTGTGTTCTCCATTCTCAAAGAAAACACCTGTAATGTTTACTAAAGTTAAAGCTATGTGTGTCTCTTGTGTCTTTTTTTACAGTCAGAATATTGACAGCAGCTGTTTGTGTACCGGCTGCACTCGTACTTCTGTTAGTGGTCGGGGTGATTTGGTGTTTTTTAAAAATATTCAAACTCCAGCATGATTAAAAATAAAGTGCTGTAGGTGTAAAACACAGGATGTTAACCAGTGAAACTGTCTTTTCTGCCTCTGAACAGAGTTGACTTGTGATTTTTGTCATGCAGGTTCCTCCCTGCTCGTGTGTGGAGTGCAATTCGCTGTGCTGTTTCTTCTCTTAATTGTGACGGCCTTTTATCCTTGGAGGAAAAAGAAAAACAAGTTGTCCGTCGACGGGTTGAACATCAGGAGAATTCCGTTATGATGGTTGTGTTCTGATCTTTGACTTTGTGAATCCAGAGTCGTCTGACTCTTTTCACTCGGTCACTAAAGTCTCTAGTGAGAGAGGGACGCTTTCCTTTTGATTTATTGTGGTATGGAGATCGTCTTGTTGTGAAGTGCACCGCTGCCTTTGGAGACGGATGAAGCGTACGCAGCAAAGTCAAATGGACACTGAAACTCTGAAACTCATTTTGATTTTGGATATGATGGTACACTAGAGTTCCACCTTGTGTCACGGTGTGGTTCACTTCCTGTTATATTTTGTAGTTTTCTGCCACTCGTGTCCCCGGGTAACTTCACTTCCTGCCTTGTCCCGTCATCCCCTGTGATAGTCTTAATAGTTTCCACCTGTGTCCAATCACCTGCACCTCCCTTGTGTATTTAAGCCGTGTGTCTCCTGTGTCACTGGTCGCGTCATTGTCTTTTGCCACGCATGTCCTGTTCTTGTCTTTCGCCTTGGATCTCCGTAGGTTCATGCCTGTGTGTTTTTGCCCCTTGGCCTTTTGGATTTTGGACCTTTTGACTATTAAAGTCTTTTGTTTTGGAAAAGTCTGCATTTGAGTCCTGCCTTCCACCCCCACCCCTGACACCTTGTCGCTTTATGCTAAAAACAATGTATCTCTGAAGGTTGGAAATTTTTCAGATAACTTGAAGTTCATCAGAAGTTGGTTCAACAGTTTTATTTTCCCACTTTTTATGTCAGATATGTAAAACACACTAGAATAATCTGAAAATTGCATGTAAATCAATATTATTCTCAGAAATGATTCAGAGATAAATTGTTTTTTATAGTTACTTTACTTAAAAATGGTGATTTTGCATTCAAAATGTGAGTAAAAGACCAAACTGTAATTAGGCAGAACATAACTTACAGGCATATTTACATGTGTGACTAAAATGTTTATCTCATAAAGATTGAGTAATCTAAATAATAGTTTTATTTTCTTATTTTCTTATTTACTGAAAATTACAAATATAGGTGTGTGTTTCTCCCATTTTTAAAAAGAGTAATATTGTAAAACATTTCAAAGCTTTAGTTAGTAGGATTGTTGTTGTTTTGTTATAGTGTCACGTAAATAAGACCAGTCAATTAATCATTTCATCCCTTTGTTGATATTTTGATTACTGACTTTAATAACTGCTTAGAGTTGAATACAACTAAATGTAAAATAGGACTTTTTATTTTCTGCAAGTGCAATGTCTTAACCATTTTATGTCCTCAAAAAGAATAAAGTATTTTTTCTTTGCATTTATCTATTCATTCGGTTATTTATGATAACAATAAAAAAAAAAAGAATCTGGACACACAGTTATTTCAGGCCAGACGGTTGAGATGTCGCTTGGAGGAAAAAATACCAAAATACTTAAAAGCAGAATGAGTCAAATAAAATTCTAAAGTAATAAAGCAATGGCAGCATAATTTGTAGAAACACTTCACAGTGCAGAGTTTTGGTGATATTCCATTTCACTTTCATTCTAACATTTGAGCCACTCGGCA